ATATTTTCTACGAAAATCGTTTACGACTTCTCTTTATTATTAAGGATGCATTCCATTTCTCACATGATGTATCATTTATTCTTATTATTCACTACATGTTAAACAAGGATAAATGATACATTATGCGCATTATGCAAGAAACGGAACGCACTCTATATATAAAATGTATCAATATACATTTATCAAATACAAACATAACGATTATACATAATTATAATAATTATGTATATATACATCTAATGAAACTTTCTTAGGAAACGTTCTACAAATATAATCCGTTTATTATCAAACAAATATAATAATTGTTTCTACAAAAGGAACGATGCGTCAATGCGTAAGAGTACACAATTTTTGAAAAATTAATTTTTTGATATTACTGCTATCTCATTTCCAGAAAATTCTTCGTCTGTTGTATAACTAATTGCAACGCTAAGAATAAATCTAATTGGACTCCGCGCGCTGATCAGACGAATTCAACTCTTGCATGGCTATCGTTCCCGTTGTTCCTGATCTCGATGCGAGAGAAGTAGTATTCGAGGCTGCGCTATCGTCACTCATTAGATCCTTGCAAAATCGCATTTTTGCAAAATCACGATCTTGACAATTAAATCGTTTTAACAGTTGCCGCATAATCTTTTTTCTGCACACGAATATAATGAAAATGATGAGGCCTTGTAGAGCGTTTATCGTATCTGTAGGATACCAAATGATCGCTGACCAAACAATCTCGGCATCGATCGACCACGATATTATTTCCATAACCCAGCTTATTCCCATCACTATAAACAGCTTCAGGTACATACTAAACCTATGAGTAAACATATTTTTATCATTTATAATTACGATCGTTATTGTAAATAGGATATAGAGCGAGAACATGAAAAAAAACGCATGAAAATATCTTGCAATTTTTTGTAAATGCGGATATACTAGATGACATTAATTCTATCAATTGTACAGACCTCTGTTTATTATCATCGTGACACTTGCTTTCCGAGTCTTTCAGCTGATGGTCTGTACGTTTAGTTTGACACAGAATTGCTAGTGTCGTGGCGATAAAAAAAGTAATATTACTAACAATAGTGACACCCATAGGTACGAAAAAGTACAAAGTCTTTGCCTTATCCTCTGAAACGGAAAACAAATTGTTTGCATTATACACATATATCTACAAGATTATGATTGAAAATTCTTAAGTTCAATCAAGATTTCAAGAAGAGAAAAAAAGCTCCGTTAATAGAAATTCAGTTATT